TAGCGCGAGAAAGCTTTGCGACCCTTGAAAAGCAAGCTTCGCTATTACTGTTTGCTGTCTGTCTACCAGCGCGTTACTGAAACGTTACTGAGCTTCTGTATATATCGTGGAAATTTAATCGTGATGCTGGCCTGCTGTAATACGAGTTAATGGATAATAATCTAATATAGGTTCGCGTGCATGCTAGTAGAGACTTTTGCGAACCGTGTGGGGCTGGTTACGCACTCGGAGTTTCAAGTGCTATACCCTGCTTGGCTTTTCAGAGTGTTTCGAGTATGCTTCCCATAGGAACAGGAACAGGAAGAAAAAAATCGTTGATACGACACGCATCAACTTGGATTTCATTCTCCAACGATCCTACTCTTTATTTGCAAGCTCTATTACAAAATAGATCACCAATAAAAAGATATCGATCTTCATTCTTCCTGCTTTCGATTCTCACATCCACTTCTCATACGATATCGGTGAGTGATATTCATAAATTTAAAGTATTATTCGTTCTTCTTGTCACCACTACTGAATAGTTTTTTTTTAGAACTATGAAGACAAGATGAGGATTGAAAAAATCCCTAGCACGAAGATTTTTCAACGATTTGTAGTACTCCTACGTAAGATGAAAAAGTCAAGTCGTAGGAAAGTAAAAAAATATTGTTTTTTTTTCTCTCTCCTTTATAAAAAGTAGGACAAAGTCATAGAAACTTCGTGCAGATTGTATAAGGGGGGAATACAGTTTTTTGGTTCTTTTTTTTCGCGAAGAAGAGAACGAAATTCACAGGTAAGTAAAACGGTCGGGAACAGCAGCGAAATGCATAAATCTGGGTTGAAGGAAAAAAAAATGGGTGGTGGCTTTAAAGTTCCCAATTTGACAATGACGAATCACGTTGGCCTGTAGTAACGCGGGAAATCCGAAATACAGGGAAAATAGCTTGACAAGGGAAGGTAGCATGAGCATCATAAGCATGAGCGATCGTCAAGGGACGTGCCGTTCATTCCGGAAAACCCGGTCGTCTTATTCGCGACAACTAAGAACTCTTTAAATTCTACTTTTCTTTCTTTCTTCCTTATTATCATTGTTATTATTATTCCCAAGATAGTAAAGGGAAAGAGAAAGGGAAGTAAAATTATTTGTTCTCGCGTAAACGAGCTCATTGCACAACGACGGAATGGAACACGCCTACTTTCTCGATCGCGTGTTTCCTAATATATACGTACGAGTTTTCTTATCAACCCTTAATAATCTAACCCTTATCTTTACGCTACTTACTACTTATACTCATTTCCATGAATCATCTTTAATCGCGATTGATAGAAAGGAAGATCGAATTCATATTTTTTTCAAATCCTATTTTTTTTATTATTATTTTTTTAAAACGAATTAAATTAAATTACGTTCTCGTTATAAGCCCTTTGGCCCATCGTTCGTCATTCTAGTCACGTTCGATCCGATTATAAAATAAATAAAAATAATAAAAAAAAAAATAACAAAAGTTCAGTTGCATCGGTGTGGTCGTCGCATCGAAAAATTTCTGCAAAGCTGCAAGCCCCGGTCTCGTGTGCAACCCTCCTCCCTTCTCTTCCCTTTCCTTCCCATCCTTTTTCCTTCTCACTATTTTCGATGCTGCGGTATCAGAGATAATTTACATGGAAATGAGGATCGGCATTGATTTTATGTCGAATCCAGTAACGGAAACTTAGCCGGTGATAGATTGTGCCCGTTTTACCTGACGTCCTCCTCCTCCCCCCCTCTCCTCTTACGACGCTTTCTTACGAAGAAAACGAAAAGGGATGTTCTTTGATATGCGTTTTAGATCGATTTTTAAATTCACGAATTGAAAAAAAAATACGATTTCAAGTATTCTACGAAAAAACGCGATCAATCTATCACAACACATTTCTTATCCTTTTATCAGAAAAGAAAATCACATGCACTTGTAATCCTTATTGATTAAAATGAGTATTTATAAATTTTTGATCGTGCTATATACGCGACGAGTATCGTAGATCACATCGATAACAATAATATTGATAAAAATATTGATTGTATGTTTTTTTTTTTAAGTATATTATATTATATCGTAAAATGCGAGTACTTATATACAATTAATAATAATGCATACATAACAACAATGTGTCCAAATTGTTTTTAATAACAAATCGAAAAAAAATAAAAATTTGTTTACGTAAAAATCGCTAATATTTTATTTCTAGTCAAATTATAATTGAAAGATAAGATTTTTGTCAGTGCAAGTGCACCCAAGTTGCAAAATAAAAATAAAACGATAAAATAAATTAACTAGACAAGCATACACAACTCTCTCGCGATATTATTTATAATATAATAAGTATAATTTTAAATAGAAAAAAATATTTCACTTATGTTAGAATTAAACGAGCTTCGTATTCCCGAGTACGCACGTAGGAGCTTGGAATTTAATCTACCATACTTAACTCACAACATCGACGGTAAACGTATTACCGTTTCAGGAAACTCGTACAGATAACGCACGGTAATTGGTAAGAATGTACATAGATGAGAGAATCGAAGAGAAGTGGAAGAGGGAAAGAGAAAGAGAGAAAGGGATATATAGAATGGAACATTGTTCCCCCCTTTCTTCCCCATCCCTCTCTGAGCTAACCATTTCCGAAGCTTTGAAGAAAGTTGGTGCATAGAATCGTAAGCAAAACGAACTTTGTTTATGAACAACTCGACTCTTTGATCGAGGAGAGGGGGTGGGACCCGTAAATATTTGCATTGGCAATGCACCCTGTGATTTTCCTGGCAGGGGTTTCTAGAAGAACATGATGAGCAGGTAGGCAGGCAGACAGGAAAGCAAGTAGGATGGCTTTCACTTATATTATAGTTACCGCGTGCCACGACGTACAAATTGCACCATTAATTTAACGAGCGAGTTGCTGGCGTTGCCGCCGCACATTTTCCGCTAATTTCTAGAAGGGTCATTAAGGCGTAGCTTATATTTCTTGTAATCGCATTATCGAAAAATCTATAACCCAGGGAGGGGTTGGGGTGGGAAGGGGGATGGGAGTCAATGGCACCGCTTACATTATCCAGGGTACAATCTCCGTTAATTTGTCTGGCCGGTGTGTTCAAACGAAATGTCAACGCTTTCGCTTTTATCAAACGTGATCGAAATTCACGTAACATCAGTTTTACCCTCTCTCTCTTTTTATGGTTTTTTTTTTCTTTCCTTTTATGAAATGACATACCAATTGATCGTTACTACTCTATTTTTACATTTATACGTCCTATTTGTTTCTTCTTTTTATTCATTGATTTTATCTTTACGTTACATAAAAAAAGGAACAAAACGATTGAGATAGATAGATAGATAGATAGATAGATAGAGAGAGAGAGAGAATATAAAACATTCGCAAAATAACGTCGACTCGCACATAGAGATAGATTAAAATTCAGTTCGACCAGTACGTTTTGATGGACGATGCATCAAAACGATTGCATATATCTCTAGTCGTCTGCACATCCTATCTAGCTGAGATTTTATATTTCCTACGTTTGACTCGACGTCAGACTTCGAAACTTCTCTTTATGAAAAATAAAAAATAAAAAAAGAAAACCCATTTCTTATCGATTATACAAACATTATTTGAAAATACTTTTTACTCTACACGGATATCTCCGAATTCACGTTAACTTGCGACATATTTTAACGAACAAAACATATTGCATTTTATTTTGAGGAAATTTCAACACAAAAGGAAGTTTAAATAAACAACACTTGTATTTTTCAATAATCATTAATTTCATTTCGATTGCTTATCGTCGATATCAAAGCACGAATCTTATATCCGCTTGGTTTTAATCGAACAACGCCCATGTCAGTTATTTTAACACTAGATTATCAAGACGTGTGAGTCAATTTGATTAAATTAAACGATACTGCGTTGTATTCAATAAATCTTTATCAAAAATCCCCCTTCCTAGTATCCATCCCCCTTCCCTTTATTAAAGTTTGTTTATATTTCTGTTTTTTTTTTATCATTTGCAAGGACAAAAAAGAAGTTGAATTTCCAGACCCACCGTCCACCTCATTTAGATTATAATGTTCCCAGTTGATTCTCAAATAAAACACTCGAATATACGGGTGTAAAGAAAAGTAAAAAATGGGAATAAGGATAAAAAAAAGGGTTCTACCCTCTTTGGGTAGACTCGTTATCATTTTTAGCGTAATAAAGATCAGTTCGTTCTCGTTTAACTCATGGAGTAGTAGGAACAGCAACAGAAGTAGCAGCAGCATCAGAAGTAGCAGCCTCGTTTCCATTATTCTCCAGTCTAGCATGTCGTGTCCCGATATCTACCCTACCCGATGAATATCTATAAAAATATCGGGCGTGTTTCCAAAACTTTAAATCGTCGACTATTATTCCAACGAGGAGTAGAATAAGACGAGCCAGAGCTGAAAGTTTTTCGATAAATCATTCGTTGAAGAGTCCGAAAAGAGGATATATATATATATATATATATATATATATATATACACATAGCAATATATAACACATATATGACTAGGTCGCATCAGCAACGAAGACGACGACGACGATGGTTCAAGTTAGGACGAAAAGTTACCAAACTAATAAATATTAATATTAGGGATAGTTACTTTATAATCGATCAAGACTTTGGGGATAGGTTCATTGTATTTCAAAATACAAGAGAAGGAGAGAATAATATTGGATAAAATATCATTCAATGAAGAATAAAAAAAAAAAATGAAAAAGAAATAGTAATATTTTACAAATAAATTTGAAAAGAAATAAATGAAATATCTATATGTCATGTCAATTGATCTTTGAAGCGTGTAATAACGCGAAATATTATTATATAATATTATAAAGTTTTGGATAAAAGGACACTTGGGTGCTAAAGTAACATCACGATCTTGTAGAATCCTAGCAAAGGGTTTAAACTGAAGAAATATGCGAAGAGAGAACAGCAAATGGGGAAAATAGAGAAAAGCTCGTTTTCATTCGTAATACAGACCGAATACGCAGCACCACGCGTATACATGAGAATTTTCGAAAACGTGGTACGAGTAATTGTCACGTTCCGCATCCCACAGACACTGAAAAGCGGAATGTACGCTTTGCCGTATACGTTGGACGATAGTCACTTGTACCACTATTTTGCATCTGCGAAAAACAGGAGGTAGAATAGAGAAACTAAAAATAATGTGCATAAATGCGTATGTATGATGTATGCTTAGAAATAAAAAATAATAAAAAATAAAAGAAAGAAATGATTTTCACGACTTTTCATTTCTTCTTCATTCAATATATATATGTATATTTGATACCTATCATATTCTCTTTTGTTGATCGCCTTCAAAACGTCGTTGGCAGTCTCCATAGATAACTTTGAGGCATTATCTGGATGATAAATCAAAACTGAGGATAATTTATTTTCCAGGACGTTACGAACGATATTGTCGACCGTTTCGATGTGAAAAATTTTGAAGGGTTCCAAGCGATACGTGTTTTGATACTTTGGTATCTGTATGTAGAAAAATAAAACAAGTTTCTTATGCTTATTCTCCCTTATTTTCCTCTTCTTCTTCTTCTTCTTCTTCTGCTTCTATATGAGTAAGCAGCTTCGAATACTCACCTTTAATCGATCACCACGATAATGAAATTGTAAACGATTTCCATTTGGGACGATCGACAATTTTGACAGAGTTCTTCTTTTACTCTGTAAAATTAATAATCTCGGTACTTCAGTTACGTTACAAAATATTTGTCTTCTTTAAACGTACGATTTTTCGTTTCATTTTCTAAACTTTTACAAGCTCAAAGGGAAATAATAATTTTTTTGAAATGAAATATTTTACCTTAAAGCTCTGTCTACGTCCGATTTAAATTATATGAATTAAAAGTATGATTAATTAAAAATATTATATATATATACATAACCTAAGCAAAAAATATATAATTCACCGGTTTATTATCGCTTTGGGAAGATCCATATCCTTCTTCATCTGATTTAACCGAAATAACGGTTAATACTCGTCTCGTAGATGTTTGTCGGTTTGGTTTGTTGGTCATTGGATTATTACTCATATTTTAATCGTAAAAAAATGTTATACCAACAAATTCACGTTAGTTTAAAAAAAAATAATAAAAGGAAGAAGAACGACACGAACAGAGCTAGAAATGTTAAATCAAACGTTTCGATCGTAAACGTACACGTACGGATTGTCAATCATTCGTTTACAGTTTTATATATCAATGATACAATATCGGATTAGAAATAATTCGAAATAAAGAAAATCCATTTGACTTTTTTTCTCTTTTCTTTTTTCCGAACTGTGCGTTAGTTGACAATTGAAAAATATTCTCTTTGAATCTAACGGATAAACGCGAATGCTCTTGGACTTTTTAATCGCCTTGTCATAACAAGAAGTAGTTTCCCTTTGAAAAGTTTGTTTCGGTAAGAATAAAAGAGTGTCGGGCTAAAAAAGAGACCGAAAGTTTGTAGTTTTACTTACTATTCTCAGCCCATAGTCGAGAAACGACGAAACTTTTTTTTTCCAAGCATGGATCTTTCTATAAAAGTACTTTTTACTTGGAAAATGAAGTTCTTTGTATTATAGAAAAAGAAAAAATATCTTTAAGGAAATAAAAATTAATCGTTCGTTATGATCAATTTAAATGAAAAGTTCCAAAGGTATCTATTCGTATCGCTATTCTATAAAAAAAAAAAAAAAAAAAAATTCATCAATGAACTTATCGAGTACAAAAAAGTGTCGAGATTAATCGATAAATAAATCATAAAGATTTCATGAAGTATATTATTTTTATTTCTACTTTCATAAGTAAAAGTTGTACGAACATGTGTCGTCAAACTCTTTGGTTAAACTCGATAAAACTCTGTCGTTCGGTAAAATCATTTAACCAGCACAGCCACCTCATTGGTCCCTTTTTCTTTTCTTTCTCACGGTTAGAAAATTCCTAAAGAACTTTACAAAAAAGTTCTCTTCTTCTTTTTCTTTTTCTTCTTCGCACTCGATTGAATTGTACACAGACGATGATAACTATTTCTTTTTATTATGTTTTTTCTCTTTTCGTTTTTTATCAAACACGACACGGTTGTTGTACGTGTTATCTTGATAAAATTCATATAAAAACAAAATCATTTCCACCATCGATTCCTCTTTTAAAAGACAAAAAAAAATATACATTAAAAAACTAGTAGAAATGTTTTTTATCGATTTAATTTATAACTATGCGAATCAAAGTACCATTAATATAATCTGGCTAAATGAAAAGCGTTAAGATAAAACATATTCTATCTGCTTATCTTCCTGGCGTAATTTTTCGTTCATTTCCACGATTATTACATTTATCGCGTACCCGAGTCCGACGTTTTTAAAGCCAGCGAAATGTCACGTACGTGCCTTCCATGTGCTTTAGGATAATTCACAGGGTCATATAAAATGCAAGGATATATACGAGGTTATAGTTTAATTTATCTGCAAGCAGAGTGAATTGCAATCACGTAACGCCGAGAATAAAAACACTTTTTATCTTTTTTTTCCACTTTTTCAGTTTTTGCCATCTGACCAATCCGTTGTCAGATTTATTATATGTAAGTATTTCTAACAAAATTATTAGATTTAGAAAAAGAAGTATAAAATCAAGATTTTGTTGTCCACAAATCCTGACGCAACCATCATTTCGCAACCATGCTCATATTTATGTATATATATATATATTAGTAGAACAGAACGTGCAAGCAGAGTTGGGAAAAGGGTGGTTAAAAAAAAAATATTGGGTAGTTGGATCTCTCGTGCGAATGAGAACGAGAAGCATGATTTTGAAGTTTCGTCTAAAACGTCTCATAACTACTCGACTCCTGCCATTTCATCCACGTACATACTTTTATTACATTCACGGTTCTTCCCTCCCAACCACAGCACCCTACCTCTTGTTCCTGAGGTTTCGCGAGACGCTCTAAACTCCTCAATAAAGAAGGCATTTACGTGTATAGTGGAATTCCTTGTATAATTCAACTGGATTTTCTTTAACCCCTTCGCGTGATTTCATTCTATGTTCTCTTTCACTTTATACCACTATATCTCTCTCTCTTTCAGCAAACCTTTTTTTGATCATAACGAACATTTAAAAAAGATATTCGAACGGGGGAAGAAAGAAAAAGAAAAACAAACAAACGCATCACCTCTTTTTTCTGAAACTTTCGCATAAAAATGCTTTTCCCATGATAAAGGCAAAGGTGTAGGGGGGGTGGGGGTGGGTAGAGGTTTTTGCATTTCTTAAAACTGCACGGTTTAATGGTTACCGGAGTACAGAAAGAGTAGTTATGAATTATGCATCAACGGTTAGGCAAAAGTACGCTGAGAAGCAAAAGGAAGAGTAGGGGGTAAAGTATTAAGCATTTTTCCATCCTGAACGAACCCCCTATAGGGAATATTTTGAAGTATCGTGTATACAATGACGTTGATATACTACTATCGATCATCTAGCTTACATGGTCAACTCGCTTGCAGCGAATACAACATGGAACCGCATGTCTTCGGTGTTCCGCTAATTATAGTCAGATCACACGGGATCCATTAACGCTAGGTCAACATGTCATTATCCAAAGAGGAAACTGCAGTAAACGTTGCTAAGTGCAATCTAGTTGTTGCTTGAGAAATTTTCACAATATAACGATTATAAGATGGACAATTTCTTCCAAACTTATATTATATCGCGAGGAAGTGGGGATAAAAGTTCGAAAAAAAAATCCAATTTCAAAATACTCTCCCTCGTTTGTAAATACTTCGTATAGCGTAATTCAAAGTTTAACCGATAGAAGGGAAAGTACTGATGAGTTTCTCTCTCTCTCTATCGCACAAGGGAACAAGGAGAATCTCATGAATTTACATAGCCCGATGTGTCTGAGTTTCCGTTTCGTGGTGAGCATCTAACAGATGCTTCTGTGTGATTTGCATAAAATGAAGCCAGCATCCGTAGTACCACCAGCACTCGTGGGACGTGTGTGGACATAGGAAAAGGACGGTAGAAGGAAGGAAGTGGGTGGAAATAGACGAAGATTGAGAAAAAGGAGAAGAAGACAAAGACAAAGAGAAAGAAAAAGAGAGAGAGAGAGGAAAGGAACGCATATTCCAACCTTCGAGTGAGTATATTCCTTTCCTCTTTCATTATTGGGAACGTGACCCCAATTCGTCGATGATAATGCTATTACCAACAAAGGAAAGGTTCTTGTAATTAAGTAACTATAAGATGAATTTGAAAATTCGTTGAAGAATTCGAGAGATTCGCGAGAACGTTGCAACTAACTCGTTTTATAGCAACACTTACTTTACTTCTTGATTCGATGACTTTCTTAGAAAATGTATTTTAACATTGTCATTTGAGAGAAATTTATTAGGCCGTAGCAATGATACATTTCAGGATCGACATGCAATGATACAGATCGACGTTAATTTACAGCGATGAGTTTCGCCGTATTATAGGATACGATGATACGCATCGTGTTTGTCTGTTGTGTCCTGTGTATGTAGATGTGTGTGTACGAGAGTGATCAGAGTAGAACGGGTTACATGAAATTGTCTAAGTCGATAGAAAAGTCAATTTGTTTTTACATATTAGGTACATCGAAGTTCGCGATCACAGTTCCATTCGCGCACCAACATCCTCTTACGTTTATGTATATATATATATATAGGTATATATTACAGGAACGCGTCGTTCGTTCGATATATAAAATCAGCATCGCTCACCGAAATATCACGATCGGAATAACGATCGCGAGGAACATGATTATTCTTCTGTTGACACTGTCGCTGCCTCCGTGTTGCATCGCCGCAGGATGTTCCCCTGCGAACAGATTTCAAACTAAAGGGCCCAACTAATATTGGCAACGGCATACGAACCCTCCACCCCTGAAGCCACAAATATAGACACACACTTATCTAAAGAAATTGTCAGGAATGAAAGAGAAGCTCCTATATAATATCTCTCACCGTTCAACACGTGAACCACCACGCTAGCTGGTGCAGCCTTGTTTGAGAAGCACGTGTAATTGCCGCTGTCGTTGAGTAACGCGCGCGTTATTACCAACATGCTTTTGGTAAAGCTCTTGCCCTTTTCAGTTTCCAGAGAAACGCCACCCCTATCGAACGTAAGGAATTTCATATGATTGTTTTTTAGTAATCGCGACATTTATATTTTATTTGTCTGACGCACCTTGGACTATCAAAGTCGATGACCGAACCAGCGTGATACCAAGTCACGTTGCTCGGTGGGACGTCCTGCATGTCGACGGTACAAGTCAAACTTATTTTACTTCCTTTCTTCACGTATACCTCTTCGGAACCAAGGATTTTCGCTTGTACGTCTTGTGTAACGAAAAACGTCATTTTTACCAATTTAATATCGGATCTATATATATATTATTATTTCATTCCTTAATAATTGCTCACCCAAAACCTTTAAATTGACCGTTCTGTCCATCTTTGGCTCGGTATTAACTTGACACTCGTAAATACCAGCATCGTCAGGTTGTACAGAATCAATTTGCAGATCCCAGTTTGGCGATTTACCGATTATCACGAATCTCTTGTCGGCTGTATACGTCGTCTTCATAGACGTTAAAATCCTTACGTCTTTTTTTCTCATCCAAGATACCTAAGATATAAGAAATCTCAGGTGAAACTTTTCACGAGCTTTTAAACATTATTCCACGTCTTGTTTTTCTTATATAAAATCAAATAAAATAAAACTCACGGTCCTGTTTTCTAAATTTTCTACGCGACACGACAAAACGGCTGATTGACCAACAGCAACCGTCACGTTTTGAGGAAGATCATCGTAAAAATATGTGTGCCTTTTCATACGAAATTTCTTGTACATCTTCTCGTCGAGATGTTCTTCGTAAAAATGTGCTACGATTGGTGAATATTCGTGATCATCTTTGTGACTTGATCTAACGTCGTCCACGATTATGCCTGGTACAAAATGTAAATTGATACAAAATACAACCACGAGCAAGAAATAGAAAAAAATAAATTGATGAAGTCTACCTATATCGCGATGACCGAAAGTTGGTTCCGCGTGTAACAGGTAACCAATTCCTAGCAACAGTAGGACCATGCCGTGGAATGGTGCCATTTTTTATATTCGACTATCGTTCATCTTTGCTCATGGATTATCGAGCTTTTCCAAATTGCATGGCATATTTTTAAATAATCCTTTGCATCTTACAACGATGACAATAATCTCCAGTTTAAATTGATAATTATTTTTTGAACGAATCACGATCCGTGCCTTGTCACGTTTCTCTTCTCAAAATGATGATAATACGTCTTCTTTGAACTTAAGTCAATCGTTGAAAGATTTTTCTTTTTTTTACACATTTCACCGAGATTAAACTTTCACCGATCGAACAGAAATGATCGTTTGATCTTTTACAGTCTGTAATCATGAACAACTGTAATATGATCGCATGTGTAAATTGATGACAAATCAATTAGAGAAATGATTACCGATCGAGATAACAATTATTTATATTTTATAGTGTCGTTAAAAGAAGAAGAAGGAGAAGAAAAAGAATAGAAATCGATTTAAGAATCCATCTTCGTGGTAATGCGCTCCGGTAGCACCCGAAGTACTAAAGAGTAGGTTTTCATGGGGGTGGATTGAAAGCTCGAATTGAAGGGGTACATCGCGCCCGCGCTGTACTTTCTTCATCTGCGATTGCGCTTAAGGATCCCATTCACCTATATAACACGATATTATCTTCTTTTTTTTACAAATGAAACATTTATCTTTTTACCTTAGTTATCACAAATTGAGAAAACAAATGGCAGATACATTCTAATGTGCAGTTCTCAACATGTACGAAATTTATTATTGTACATTTTACTGGGAATTTGAAAACATTACTGAGAATCGACTAAGACCAGAAATTTATATATTTGTATAAACCCACGTCTTCTTTGTAGAAATTCCTTGTGAATTATTATACACATAGAATGCAGCTGCAATGACAAAAATATATTGGGAAATCTGTATTTTATTACCGACTGTAAAATATGTGCTACCATTTAGCGGTACAAACTATTACTTTATTTTATCGATTGGTAAAACATTTATTGCCATCTAGCGATAATAACTATTACTTTATTTTACCGACCGGTAAAATATGTGTCGCCATCTAATCGGAAAAGCACATACTACATATTACTTAAAATATATACTAATTATATATTTATAATACACATATTTTACCAGGAATTAAATACATATACGATTAATATTTTATTCTATTAAATATTTATATATTAATTGTAACACAATCGCTGTTATAAAAAATAACAGAATAAAATTCTTCTATATTATTCATGTTTCCACAGGAATATAAATAATTGATAATATCCAAATTTATAAAAATATCTGATCAATATTATTTACAATGTATAGCACCAATTTACTTTTTAATATAATTACCCTTTGTACCACCTGTTTTCGATACTAATTCTATATTTGTTATTTTCATATTATGTGTAGTGGCTGCATGTTTGCACATATCATAAATTGTAAGTCCAGCTAATGATACGGCTGTTAAAGCCTCCATTTCAACTCCAGTTTTTCCAGTACATCTTACTTCGGCTATAATTTCTACTAAATGCGATTCTTCATTTAATTTTAAGTTTACGTTTATATATGATACATTTAGAGGATGACACAATGGTATTAATTCTGAAGTCCGTTTAGCAGCCATTATGCCAGCTAACTGTGCAACTGATAATACATCTCCCTTCTTTACATTATTTTCTGCTATCAATTTACTTATAACAGGTCCTACCTGAATCTCTCCTTTAGCTATTGCTATTCGTTTACTTTCATTTTTACCTCCTACATCGACCATATTAGCTTTGCCAGTTTCATCTATATGAGAAAGTGTAGAATACATTCTAGCAACTCGCTGATGATGCTGACCAAAGTCATTCATATATGATACATAATTCTCCCAAGAGACATTTTCTAGTAGTTTATGTTTCTTGTATTGCACTTTTGTCTTAAACAAACATTTGTCTCTTTGATTAACTGTATGAAATAAATTGAATTAGCATTATGCTTCATTAAAATTTGTATACTATTAAGAATCTTCTATCTAATATAGCGATAACGTCTGTACAGATATAAAAAATATAGTTTTTTTTTTTAGTAATATGTAGATAGATCATCGATTGGAATAATCTAAATTTAACCACCGATTAAAATCATTGGTCTGTTTTCCATCTGGGATAAATTGAACATTCCTGAAACATATACAGTATAAACGCTATCGCTTTTAAGGAAATCATTCATTTAAGCGAATAAACAATTTATGCGATGTACCTGCATGTTGTTTTTTCTTTCCCCATACTGCTTTACGAATTATTTCTTTTAAATCTTCTTCGGATGTTCCATTGCGAAGAGCGTCTCTTAACGAGACTTCACTATCTCCTTCAAATAAACAAACTTTCAAATTACCATCCGCTGTAATTCTTAATCGATTACAAGAACTACAAAAATTATGAGTCATAGATGTAATAAAGCCTACTTGTCCAACAAAACCAGGAACTTGATATGCCTAAGAAATAAAGAAAAAGTTCATTATTAAATATATTTTTGAATATTAGCTTATATAAAGAAAAATAACAAAAACCTTGGATGTATCATTTAATTTATTTGGTAGTGCCTGAAACTCTGGATAAGTTTGCCTAATAATCTTTTTCATTTCATTAAATGAAACCATCTTATTTTCTTTCCATTCATTTCCATAAAATGGCATGTATTCTATAAAACGTATATCCAATGGACGATCTTTGGTCATATCAACAAAATCAACTAGTTCATCGTCGTTAAAGCCTCGCATTACTACACAATTCACCTATTCAAATTAAGATGCTTTATGATTGATTATATGTTGTTCTCCATCTTAAAATAATTACTTACTTTTACTGGATTATATCCTAGTTGAACAGCCAAATCTATGGAAGCCATAACTTTTGCCCATCCTTTTCTACGTGTAAATTGCTCAAATCGATCTACTTTAAGAGTATCGAGTGAAATATTTAAAGCATCTAGACCAGCTCTTTGAAGAGCTGGTAATTGACGTGTTAATGTCAAACCATTTGTTGTAATTGCTACTTGTTCTAAATTTTCTAATTTTTTTAGTTCCGCTAAATACATTTAATAAATATAATTATTATACACATTAATATATAGAAATTTATTATTTCAATTTGTTATAGTTACCAATAATATCAACCACATCTTTACGAACTGTAGGCTCACCACCTGTCAATCGTATTTTACATATGCCTTCTTTCGTAAACAAAGCTGCTAGCCTAATTATTTCTTCTGTTGTCAAAATTCCACCTTTTGCAGTTAATTTGACACCTTCCACTGGCATACAATATGTACCTTCATTTGAAAAATGTATAATAACTATAAAATAAAATGTTTTATCAATCTAGACATAGATATAAAGTATATAAAATTACATACAGCGAAGGTTACAACGTTCTGTAATTGAAATCCTAAGATAAGTATGATGTCTTTTAAATGAATCTGTTAGTATATCATTACTATAAGTATTTAATTTCTCTCTAAATTCCTGTATCTAAAATCAAGTAGGAACATTAATAATTTACATATTAAAATGTTCAGAAGTGCATTCTAATTAATTGTTACTGTAAATATGAAATGTATGTAAAGTATTTTTAAACTTACTCGATTTGAAGGATTAGTAGATGCGTTTCTTAATGCATTAATTGCATCAGAAAAATTTCTACCAACGTAGATTTTACGAAACATTTGTATATTATATTATATTTGCATAGAATAAACTCAAAATGTAAATATAACCTTAAACCATAACGCATAAACTTTCAAATTTATTTGAAACAATTTACTTTTTATAAAATGCACTGTATATATAATTATTTATTTTAATAATAAAAGAAAATATCGATCTATCTTTACATTATCTACAGTATACATTGAAAATGCTATTCAACAAGATACTGTGACTAGCTTATCTATTCTACAGTAAATAACAATCTAAGGCCTTGAGAATATGAAGAGATATATGATTAAATTGATCCATATGTTTCACTGATAATGTTAATATCATAAAATTACAGTTACATTTTTACTCTCCCTCTGCTGTAACATTTTGTAAGACATGTATAATTTTACTAATGATATCTACAATATACAAAATATTCTATTATCAATTATATTAAATATATATATATTGATAGATAAATATACATGTAAAAGAAAATTATACATTGTGATACAAATTCATATGAAGTTTTAATGAATGTTTGTCGTCAAACTAGATTCCAGGTACTCATATACCTGTGTGCAATGTTCTGCATGGATGCAGTTTCTTATTAACGTAAATAAGAAGCTATAAATGAGTTTTTTTATTCGTGACTGAAATATTTTTATACAACGAGTAACATTAATATTAATTCGCGTTTGATTTGTATTTATTTCTATTACTCGCATGATCACTGATTCTAAATTTATTTAAAAACTACTTTGCACTCAATCATTGCACTTCCGGTACAAAAGCGGTAAATTTGAAATTTTCACTAATGCACTGATTCTAATACGCGAACAGTTTGTACAACTATTTAAAGATAAAATTACAATTTTATATAAAAAAAAAACTAATAAAATTACTGCTTCGCTCACAGTTAATTTAATATATGAATTTCAAAGTAATTATTTATTTTATAATTGATTTTATTTAATCAATGCTTATGATGATACGTTGAAGTTTTATTATCCGTTGATAATAATTTAATCTACAGAAAATATTTATTATTTTTTATAATCTATCCAAATAGATACGTACATATAAATTGTCCTGTTGTTATTTATTGCATATTTATTTTTATGTAATTATTTTAAACAAAACCTTATTAATAATTCAACCTTTTTTATCATATTTTTATAGCGTTCTGTTTTACCGACAACTTGATACAAACGAATTATAGCGCTAATAGTAGCAGAAATGAGAACTAACCTTGAGAACTGTAAGATACATATATATATCTTTGATTGTAAAAGGCCGAAATTGGAGAATGTCAAGATGCACATGGATATTGAGAGATTATGATGAATTTCTCATTTATTTTCAATAAATTTATATCAATTATTGTATTATCTCATTGATTTTAAAAATAATTTTTTAATCGGCTTAAAAATATGAAATTAATAATTAAAATCTTTTTTACAATTAGATCATAGATATCTGTCCGAACGTTGTTTTAGCGTAGAAGATCAATCGCTTCGTTTTACTTTCCGATATCTTTCGAGTATCGATCTTATCGTGTCCGGTAGATTAACACCAAGTAAGGAGACGAATAAGAGTATTTCCGACTATATCGTACAGTCTATAAGAGAAGCTTTAAAGGTGTACTTTAGAAAAAAAAGAAAAAAAAAGAAAAAAAAGAAGAGAAAAATGTACGTGACCGCGACACAAGTGAAAATCGCGTCGATATTAACGATAGGAATCGGTAGTTTCATCGTTAGCATTGTACCAGCTTGTTTCGTATCGCGTATAAGAGATTTTCAAGAAAAGTTATTACTTTCCTGTGTATTATGTTTTGGCGGAGGTGTCTTATTAGCAACTTCGATACTTCACATGTTGCCAGAAGTAAGAGAATCTTTACCAAAATACGGAGAACTTGCTATCACATGTGGATTTCTTTTACTTTATTTCGTTGACGAGTGTGTTCATTATTTTTGGGGTAGGAATATCGATCATTCGTCAAACTCACATAATCATGCCCACGGAGGTAGACATTTTCAAGATCGTCGGTAGGTATAATTGAAGAATACAAACATTTTTAACATGCCAAATTATATATTCTTTGTCTTGTTCAAGAGACATTAGAATTAATTAGCTTTTTTTGTTCATTACAAATGTTGTTACGTTCGTAGGAAAGATAGGACAAGTTTTCCTTTGTTACAGGGCTTATGACCTAAGACCTTATATGTTTTCTCGTTCCATATTATGTGTTTTATTCTTCTCCATCTTATCTTTTCAAACCACAAATGGTTTGTAGTAATAAATTGATATACAAACTAACCGAAGATCGATAGCTCGGGTTTAGCACATTTAACGATAAAAATAGAAGTGATGTTGAGAAAAATACATTCGTGTCTCGAGCTATGCGGTATCTTTTATCTTTAGCGTAATCGATTCTCTTGGTCGCTATATTTGGTCGACTTTGAAGCATCAAATTGTTTGGAAAATTCGTTTAGAAGATAAACGCATTATCGGGTGTCTTAAGATGCGCATGCGCTCGGTTGATCGGCCTTTGTGGCGTTTTAAAAAAGCTATCATGTTTGCCAAACGAAATGAAATGAAATGAAACGAAACGAAACGAAACGAAATGAAAAGAAACGAAAATAAACGAAAATAGTATCGACGAGAATACATGTTAACTTAAAAGATTTAACTGATTCCATCTTCGAATGGAAAAAACATTTGCCATTTTTTATTCGAACGTTTTTTTTACATTAGTAGTACCATTTCTATTAAATCTTATTATTTGAAAAAAGCTTTCAAAGTAATTGATAGGACTACGATAAAACCACTAGGTTTATACTCAATCCTTTATGATGACAGATCGATGGGAATTTATCCAAATGCAATCTTTATTATAGAGAAAATCAGCGTTCCCATTTTCATCAGATTGGTTACAATGTGGGTAACCAAAATGTGAGAGGCGTTAGTTCAAACGATATTAAAACGACAACGAAGTATCAATCGAATTTACGGGGGACCAATGAATTTCCAAATTGGAGATCAAGTTATTACGGATCGATGCAATACGTACCAAATGCACCTGCGGCTTCACCTTGTCACGAGGAGTTGACATTTTTATGTCATGGCTCTCATTCCGAACCTTGTTCAGATGCCAACGTGGGTCCAGTAGGTCTTTTGCTGGCTCTCACTATTCATTCGATTTTAGAGGGACTGGCTATTGGCTTGCAAAAAAAGCCAGCCGAGGTTCGTAAGATTATTAATTAATGGAACTTCTTAATATATGACTCATTTTAGTAGAATAGAATAAATAATATTTGATTCTGAATGAATTACAGGTTTTACTTTTTGTAGTGGCGGTGGCATCCCATAAGTTTATCGTTGGATTTTGTATGGGTTTGGAATTAATGGGTACTGGTAGTTCCAAATGTAAACTTGCTTTAGCGAGTTTAGTATTCTCCATTAGTTCGGTCATAGGAATAGGAATTGGTATGTTTACATCACAGGTAAGCTATGATTGGAAAAGGAAAACATGTGTGCCGATCACACACTATTATTTTTCTTTCTTTGTAATTATTTATTTAATAATTATAAAAATTCGCGCCTGTCAAGATGTAACCCTCCGGACACACTTTGAAAATGTTGCTTTCGAGCGCCATCTGTTGGAATGGAATTTTTATTCTGCTCGAAAGATAGGCAACCCGTAATACATGCTTGTACAAAAAGTTTGGACTGCATAAAAATTCCGTCCCAGTAGATGGCGCTCGCAAGCAACATTTTCAAAGTGTGTCTGGAGGGTTGCATCCTTACAGGCGCGCATATTTATAAATATTAAATAAATAATTAGAAAAAAAGTAAAAATAATATAATTATACAGTGTGTATGCCTATTCTAAGAAAGTTTTCACTTCAAATAAATGTGCACGCATTTTTAATGAAATTGAATGAACATTTAATATTATTATAAAATTTTAAATGAAAGACATTTTTTTACGCAGGAAAATGCATCTTGGTCTCGAATATTGTTACCGATTTTGCAAGGATTAGCAGGAGGAACGTTACTTTACGTTACCGTCAGCGAAGTTTTGCCACGAGAAAGAGCAAGGTGGCACAAAAGTTCACGTCGTTCAGCCGGTATTTTTCAATTTTTTTCAACTACAACCGGATTTTTACTTATCTTTCTTCTAAATACTTATATCAGTACTTGAACGAAACACATATTAAATACAATGTCCTCACATCTTCATGTATTTCAATTTCTTCTTCGCATCTACAATGATTTTTATTACGGAAGAAGCGTTAGTTACTTTATACCTTTTAAGATATGTACATATATACAATATATATATATATATATATATATATATTGTTTGAAGTAAGCAATTTTCCAAATGGAAAAAAGTAGGCTAAGCTGGCCCCTTTCACGAGTGCTCTGTTTCTTCAATGAGGCATAGCAATAATTACACCACCGAATTTAATCCATTAGGGAACAGTTGCCGTTCTTAAAATGTGTATACAGGTAGTAAACTTTAACCGTGTTTTGACAATAACATTCTTAAGCGAGATTTAACATTGATGCAAGTATAATCATTTTTTGTTTTTTTTTATTTTTCTTATCATTGTACATTTTGCTACGGATATTCGATTTAAAGTAGGATTTTATTTTTCGATACGATATTTTGTTCATATTAATAATATTGCTCGATTAGATATTAATTAAATGAGATGATAGTTTTGCCTATGTGTTATATATATATATATGACTTGTGTATAAGATTAAATGAAAATATGTTGTAAAGATTACTCGCGAGTATGTTAATGTTAATATTAATTGTTAACAATGGTAAATTTTCTTTTTTTATTATGATATATAATGATATTTGAAATAGGTTATATCGATAAGAATATTTTCTTTGAAAAGCTATTTCGTTTCGAATAGAATACAATAGAAAGTAATCTTAAGTTTTATACTTTCCGATAATATTACTCTTTGTGTAGCATTGTCGAAGATGATGGTCCACCCTTCTAAAGGGATCGATCGATAGAAATATTTTCAAGAAAATAATAAAAGATTAGAATTTTCTTTGAAATTTTCCATTTAAAGAAATATAATACTTCTTCAGTTTATCCAAAATATTGTAACTTATTATTGTTCTCAAATTGAGATGACAAATGGTATAAATGAAACAACATTTGTATTTGTATATCGAAATCTAATCCATGCTGCAATATGCGTGATCATTTTCGCATAATCGTCACGCCATTTCAGCAAGCGGAAATTATGTGATTACACGTGAGAAGCTTTAATTTCACGGTAGTTAACACGTTGCTAACTGTGGCGAATAATTTCATTCCTGTGTTATCATTTCGTTTATGGAATAGGTTTTGCCGTTACTAAGAGAATTTTTGTAATAAGTGTCAAATTAATTATAAGAATTAATATCACGTTTTATAATCAACTTAATTTGTTTTTATAGTTTACTTTAGTCGTCTAAAGGAATTGTAATATATTTATCATATTATTTTAAATCATTATTATTATTATTATTGTGTCTGGTATACTTAAGGATTTTCATTTTATGTTCAAATTATTATTTTAGACAATTTTTACGTATTACTTTTCACGTGAAATCCTTTATGATTAATCAGAGCGTACAAGCTGCTTTAATTTCGTAAAAAAGAAATAGAACAATATTTTTTCACTTGAGAAATCTCGAATGAAATTTGATTAAATTAATTATTCCTCACTGTACGTTGCATACTTTTTTACCTGGATCATTTTGAATTGGTTATTTGAAGACTGTGATCAAAGAATATTTGAAAAGGTTAACGAAATAGAAAAGAAATAAAATTGGATAGCTTCATAAAGCGATAGCGTGATCGTTCAACTTTGTTCTTTTTCTTTTCTACTCGTAAATTCTGTCGATTATCTTTTTTTATTTCCAGGGGATACTTTTTGCGAACTTTTTCTCATTATATTATCATCAATTTTGTATTTCTCATATTCGTCAAATAATCGAATTATATCAGCGAATGATATTTCTTTTGAATCGAGATGTGAAAAAGTAATTTGATTGATTCATAGTTTTAGGTAGCCTTAGGCGATCATTTATTTCAAGATGAAAGCTGACAACTTCGTAATGTATGGTCAAGAAAAAAGACTATCATTTATTTTCTTAGTGTCGTTGGTGGACCATAAGATAACAGGGGTTTATTTCCTTAAACGTGACAAGTTTTTACAATATTTTTGCAACAATATACATTTAAATCGACGAAGTATTTTTATGTTCCATCTGTTTTAACAGATGGTTGTCAATAAATAAATTCGTTATATTTCTCTTTAATGTATTTTCTTTTTTACTTTTAATAAGATCAAAAATGGTGACCGTCGAGATTAGATTTACTGTGGACTACTGCGATTTTAATTGAACCGAGTCCTGAGCTTTTAAACGACGTTACTACGTCTTTCCTTGGCATTAGGAATACCAATGAAGAAGTAGGAAGAGAAGTTCGATCGGATTTCTTGAGGTGGCTTCAAGGGGGGTAGATTCTAATATCGCGACACGGAGCGAAAGGAAGAATGAAGGAAGGGTGGAAGAAGAGACCGAGGACTAAGACGACCATGGTGATAGGAAAAGCTAGCTCGGCATCGAGAGAGAGAGAGAGAGAGAAAGTAATCGAGTGGGTAAATGAAAAGGGTAGAGAGAAAGAGAATATACGTCAACGGAAATGGTATAGGGTAGGAAAGGGTGGTAGTGGGAGTCCAAAGGAATTTGATAATCGGTTTTCAGGAATCTTTAATATGAAGTTAAAATAATGAGCGATCTTATGGTAAGTCATTTTTTTTTTATTCCCAAAAGCCTATTTCTTTGAATTATCTCATCTTTTAAACCTATCCAACCTATTAATAATATTTCTTGTTTTATTTTTATGAATGTTTTAGCTTGAATATTTTGTAATCTTTCAATATACCTTTTATTCAAATATTCGTATTGTAATATAATATTTGTTGTAACTTTTTGAAAAAAGGAACGTGCATAAGTGAGTTATTTTTCTTTATGCAAACAGGTCTTTTTCTTTCCCCTTTACTTTTCCTTTCTACTTATTCTTACTTTCATGCTTTACTTTCACATAGACCTCTCTTTATGAACTTCTTGTCGTCTCGTAATTAATAATATGGGGTCAAGCAGTGTAGTTTTAATAAGATCCAGAGCCCTTATGCAAATTCAGCGAAATTGTTTTATTTCAAATTATATGATAATGCTAATGTAGATTGTTTTTACGATAAGAATAAAGAACTTTGTTCGTGCGTTGTTATGGATGAAAGTCTTCTGTTCTTATATGTTAAGCATTTTGTTTGTTGCGAGAAGTGTAGTATATATTTCCATGTTATATAAGTATATAACATATATGCTGAATTGCATACATATGAACTGTTATTGTAAGAATACGCTTTTGTATATCTTACTCTTTTCCAATCTCTTAGTCCCTTGAATACTTTTGAGAATCATTGAAGCGATCGTTTATATTGAACCTATTTGAATGATAACTGTATGATACAAAACCTGATTCATGTTAGCACAAGTATATACATGATGATAGTTCTCTTATTTAAAAAGACGATATATGTAACATGTATCTTAACGTTTGAATTTTATAAAAAAAGAAAAGATAGGTGCAATCTGTAAGCATGCACGTAGTATTTTGTAATACCAACTTATACTATATTGAGTTTTCTTTTCCGTGTAGTAAGAGGCATCGATTAGCTATACCCACTTTGTGTTTCTTGATATAAAGCTTGATGCACACACACACACACACAACATGTTTGAAGTAGGTCAAAACGTAGTAGTAGTAACACTTTATTGGTATGTTTGTTCAGTAATTGAAGTATTTGCAATGTGAAAAATCTAAGATTATTCCTGTCAAAACACTTTTATCGTCTTACTTGTATGTCGTGATAATTTTGAGAAAGCATTTTTGATTTTTATGATGTATCTTCGATTCGTTGAAATAAAAGATTGGCGGACAAATTGGCAACCAATTTTACAATGGTCGATTGCAAGTTTAATAAAAGTACTTCTGATAGAGAAGAACAATTAAATTAATGAACTTGATATATCCACTTATTATGACGGAATGAGAGGGAGAGATCGAATCGAAGAATACTTAATATGCTCCAGATAATAGAAATATAGGTCAAAGGTGTGAGAATAAGGTTATCATTGCCATACTTATACCGGAAAATCGGGAATTATCGAATACTCCAGCAGAACAACAAGAAGACAACGAAAGGTGGACATCGTTGTAGCAAAAAAAAAAAAAATGTTCTGAAAATAATTGTGAAGCTAAAGATAACAGGACGAAGTCCTAATAAAAAGAAGAAGAAGAAGGTTCATTTAAGTGAAATTAATTGCATACCTTTTACAAGTCAATAATTGATTGAATTTATTTATCGTAAAACTACTGCAAACAGTTAATTGATTTTATCATATTACAATGAAATATGAATCCTTCATTTTTGCTGGTTTGTAAAGAAACGAATATAAAACATACTTAATAAAAAATATTCTAAGGAAATATCTGACTATATGTATGCTTCTTAAATACGTTTTTAGAGATAGGGCATCGACCATCATGTTGAAAACCGAATCTCGCCATCTGTGAAAATTAATTAAAATTCATAATAAAAATCCTTTGAAGTTAGGCGAACTGAAAATTGATCATCTGCTGGATAATTAGTGAATGCACTTTCGTTACGGCGTAAGTTACGTGCCACAATTTTATGCTTATGACGTCAGCAATACATACACGTCCAACGACTATCGAACTTCTCTTAAAGTTATAGGCTGCCTCTTAAAATAACTATGTCACACTTTATCTGGATTTACTTTGCTCTTATTCCGTATATCGGTATAAGGTTATAAGAAATCGCTTTTTCTCAAAATAATCGATATACAAAATAATGCTTTTCTTCTTGATAACAAGCTTCATTTATTGTCAAGGATTATGCTGTAACTTTTAAGAAATTTATCCTTTAAGATAACTCGTCCTGATTGTCCTATTTAACACAAGTTTCCTAACTATTTTATTTTCAACTTTTTATTTTTTATCTTTCGATATTTTATCCCCTTACTTATTGTTAGTTAAAGTATTATAATCGTTTATTTTTAACGTTATCTACAGTATTTTTTTTACGATTCATTAT